GGCTCGCGGGAGGCGTGAGCAGCAGGAGGGCTCGCAGGAGGCGCGAGCAGCAGGAGGGCTCGCAGGAGGCGCGAGCAGCGGGAAGGCTCGCGAGAGGGCTCGCAGGAGGCGCGAGCAGCGACAGCGGCGAGCGGCGGCAGCGAGCGACGAGATCGCGATCGGGATCGGGATCGGCAGCGGTAGCAGGTTAGTCTTGGGTTAGGGTTGGGGTTATATCGGTTTAGTTGGTTCGATTGAACCAACTAACAACCGAACCAGGACCGAACCAGACCTAAAATTCTGGTTCGGTTTACCCAGGCGCTCGCCCGAAGCGCCCAGCGCCTGGGCTCGGGCGAGCGCCCAGGCGGCGCCTGATTGAAGCGCGCCGCCTGGGACATTAGCGAGGCGCTCGGGCCTCGCCTCGCCTCGCCAGAGCGCCTAGGCGAGCGCCCGAGCGCCTTTTGCAATCACTGAGTAGAATAAGGTTATTTGTAAATGGAGTTAGAGGCACATCATGACATGGAACCATAGTTGGACTATGCCTCACATGCACCATACTAAGATTTGTTTTTTATTTATGTTTGTAACATCAACTTTTATGCAGAGAAGATTGTGACAAACTTAACCCCACATCAGATGTGGAAGGGGATTTGAATGAGTCTACTACTATTAATTTAGGCTTGAGTATTTTGAACCATGTGGTTTAGGCATAACAAATTTAAAGCTGAGTCATGAAACCGAATGTCCCCTCTTTCGGCTGCTATCAACTGGAAACTTAAGCAAATTACCTAAACAGACTGCCCTATATATTTGTCAGCTTCTATTTATAAGCAGCTTGCTACTTCATGAAACATAAAAAATATGACGTTTAACCTCGGAGAAATACCTTGGAGGTGCCTGTCACAAATTGCAGGAATCGAGCTTTATCTTCCTTGCTGAAGCCCTGAATGACTTCCCAGAACCACTGAATTACAGGGGATGCATTACTGTAGCCAGAATATTCAGTATTTGCTCTCAAGTCATCCACTGCCAAAGAGTTGAACAAAGAATATAAGTAACAAGTAAAATAACATAAACCATGTCAATTGAATGAAATGCTAGAATCATGCAAACATATAAATTAACAACTTACAGTCTATATCTGGAAGTCCACTTATTAATAATTCCAGCTCTTTATCATTGAAAATAGATATCAACTCCCGAGGAATCAATTCATTAAAGCCTTCCATAAAAGCATTGATCTGAGGCCTAATTGCAGTTGTTAGCAAATGTTCTGCTACACGATCAACGTATTCATGTTTATTTTCTTCGGTGACCCTGATATTTCGCCCACCAGGAATCAACTCACAATCAGTTACCTACACAGCCAACATGTCAGAACAAATATAGTATCAAATGAGAAATAACAAAGCATAACTTATTTACGTTATTAGGACTTTACAACAACTTTAAATAAAAGAGTACAAGATAAATCATTAAAAATGATTTTTCATTATTAACCACACGGACATGGCAGTATCACATGATTCAGCAGAACAGCCTTAGGGAACTGCAAAACACCTAGAGCTACTCCACGGAACAACATACATGTCCACATGAAAGCACACAGTAAACACAGCATATGCTGGAAGAAGAAATAACAAAAGAGGACTTGTGATCATGTTCTTTATGGCCACCTTGAGGTAGCTTTAGCAGAAAGCATGTGGATATAATTTATGGATCATCACATCAAAAAGAAGAAGAATATATACATAACCTAATAAGGGAAAATTAATATAGAAGATGTATGACCACCTTCCATTTGACAGCAATAAATCACAGATATCATCATTGAATTTCTACTATATGCAACACTAATTATGTGTTTTAAAGAAGTCCCCAAGAATAACCAACTGTTTTGTTCATTTTGTTTAACTCTAGCAAATATGTTCATCTTAGGACATATCTAAGTTATAACATCTTCTAATGTCCATTCCTAAAAAAATTATAAACACGTAAAATTATTATCTGAATTAGAAACAGTCAACTACCTCTGCCCTTTCATACAGTATCAGCTTTTCCTCATCAGCATCCATGCTAAAAGTAAGGTCCAAAACATCACTTATATCATTCTGCAATAAGAAATTAATAGAATATCATAATTGGGTAATAAAATATTCATGAAACAACAAAAGTGAAGCAAGATTTGGAGGTAGCAAAAGAATCAAAAACTCCTGAGTGCATATCAAGTGAAGCATACCTCAAGCATCCACTTCAGGTTCTTAAAGTAATCAGGATCAACAGCCTCAATGTCATGATACGTAACCTTCACACCAAGAATGTGTTTGTAGAATGAGCGGGTGAAATGGACATCCAGGAGCTGACCATCAAAGAGTGCTTTACCAACCTGGAAGGAAATAGGCAACATCTGTCTGTAAACCACAGAAAAAAAAAATAGTTTTAAAAGTAAATGATATAAATGGAAGACACCACTCACCACTCGTCCAACAAACTTGAAGTATGAAAGATGTTCTGTCTGGTAAACTGAATTGGGATTTGGCTGGAATGTCGATTCATTGCCAACAGTTGTAAAAAGCAGAGCACCCTTATCAAAAATTACTCGTGAAAGCAACTGATACCATTCTCGAGTAAGCCCACCAGCATCAATACCTTCTTCACCTTGAAAATGAACAGTCAATTTTCCCTTCAGATCTTGTGGTGATCGCATTCGCAATTGATTATAGGAGTCCTCCAGTATGTAGGCTCTTCTCACTGAAATTCTAACTGGACTGTGATGATGGTCATGTTGATGCCTTATTTTTGACCGAAAATGAGCACGTTTATTGTCAAAATCAATGAAGCGTGGAACCTTGAGCATGAGAGAAAATGACTTCTCAAGCAAGCCAGGATTCTGCCGAATGAATGAGTTTAACAATTTCCTATGTTTCTCTAAAAACCTAACAAAAACAACATGTTTTTCATCAGTGCTTGTACATGCCCCAGATGACTTCTGCCCACAAGCTGGTGTTGTTGCCTCTTCAATGTCACTTGTAGTAGCAAAATCCTGAACTACTTCACATTGCCCAGGACGTAATTTTTCACACGTCACAAAGAATGATTCAATGTATGGCAAGATGTTTTGGGCACCAGCTGGCAGTGGTGTACTTGTGGATGCCAAATTTCCTGAAATAGAAACCATATCTGATGGGGTTTCTGAAGAAATCTCTATTTTGCTTATGCAGTTGCTCAACTCTAACCACAAAGGTTCAAGTGCAGCATTTATGTCCCATACATGAGAAAGCGCATCAGTATGGCCTTTCTCAGGGAGCACATCAGGAGCCTTTTCATGCAATCCAGTGACAAGAGAACTCAAGGCCTGCAGAACTCTCAAGATTGCGGTTCCATTGGTAGAAGATGAACTGAGAAGAGCTTTTTCAGCATCCTCATATAAGTTCAGTTCATTCATTGCACAGACACTCAAACTTCGCGCAGCATTGACAAGCTCCGTAGTGAACAAACGACAATACGTAGGAGCACTGGCTACCATCATTTTTAATACTTCAGCCAAAAGAACATATGCATTATCTGACAATCTGCAGTGGAAAGAACTTCAAAAGTAAGAAAGAGCATGATAAAACAAGTTGAAGCCTTGGGTGGCAGAAGGATTTACATTGGCATAGCAAGTGTTCCATGATGTTAATTTAATATGTCATATATCAGAGAAGGACATGTGCAGCATTAAAGCATAGAGCATAAATAAGATTAAAACAATATCACTTAGGGCTTACTATGAGTGAAAAAGGGTGACAGCAACAACGGGAATTGCTATAGAGGCCAGATGGTCACAACAGCTTTATTTCAATGAGAAGACATCATGTATTTAAAGGCAGATCCACTCATTGTACCTCCCTGTATCCTACATTGGTGTTATCTGTGGGAGCCTCACACATTTGGCTCACCCTTTTACACCTAAGTCCCAAAACAACTATACTAAGGTGGACTGATAAGAGATTTTAAACTGCAGCCAACAAAAAAAATCCTACAGCATAGCTGAGTGAATTCTTTCACACAATAGCCAATATTAATGGGCAGTTAAAATTAAGTTGTGTTGGTTAAAATTTAATTAATAAAATATCAACCTGTTAAAATTGAGGACAAACATATTTCTCCAGGTAGGCATTGTGAAAAAGCAGAATAAATTAATACTGAAAAGCTGACGGCAAACCAGTGGGTAACTTTACAAGAAGGTACCTACCTTTTATTCCAAATAATATCATAACCTCACAAGAAATTAACAGAAAACTAAAACTTTAAAAGGAAATAATTAAAAACTAAAAAGTACTTGAAGACTGCAACATCATAAAACAAAGTAGCTTAGTAAGTCGGACCCACTGCTCCAATATGTTTTAGAATTCATGTAGTGCAGCCATTTATGTAATACATAAATAAAGATGACAAAAAGATAAGAAACAAGATTGAAAGAAATGTGCAGGTAGAAGATTGTTGCTACGGATGAGTAGATTAGAGAAAACATTAATCAGAGGGAAGAGATATATAACGCCACATGACTAAAGATTTATTGAAATTTCATCACATCTTTATAAACATCCAGAACAGGTTCTCAAAAAATGATCTTTTGCTCCCCTTGATCCACCTTGGAGACTAGAACTGAAGCATCTAGTGCGTACAAATTGGTGGCCCTTTTCTGTCTAGCAAGAACAAATATGTACAGTTAATCATCAGTCAACAGAGCACCAATTGGTAGTCATTTTCTATCATAGAATATTAACACACACACAACTTCATTGCTTATCACAGAACGAATCCAACCATGATTATCTCCAATGTGAGAATTTTTCCTAGGTAAAATAGACCCCAACCTAACCAATATATTTTCTACATAGAAAATTTTGAAGGTAATCCTCAACCCCCAACAAATATACAAGAACACACAAAAAGAAGACACATTACAGACTCGACTTGATCAAATGCTCTAAATCAGTTTGCATCAGCATACTACTACTAAATCTTACTGCCCTATTGCTAAGTTTATGATAGAGAAATAAAACAAGCACCAATAGTCCGATCACACACACGGAACTGTATAAATGGCCATGATTCCCTTTTTTGTTAAAAGAAATGACCTCTAAATTGAAGCCTGTCGCAATGACAAACAAGAAGGGTTCTTTTAGATTATGGCAACCACAGCAACTAGCCATTAGATGCATCACTTAAAGGTAACTAGAAAGAGAATATAGAGAAAGGCTTTGTTCACATACCCTTCACGTGCAAGCAATGAGCATAAAAGTTGCAGTTCTCCCTCTGGAATGCTCAATAGAATGTCACTTATACTGTTCACATTGTCTGCACATGAAGTAGAAGCCCTTTCAGAGTCTTTGGCCTTTACAGATTTAACACCCTCTTCAGCAGCAGATCCAACAGCATCAGCAGTAACCTGTGCATCTTGCATGGTGTTTTCAGAACCAGATTGTTGTTCAAGAGAAGCTCCAGGTTTGTTGGATAGGCCAGAGTCACTTTCACCATTTACAATAATAACTTCAACAAGGTTTAACAACTGAAATGGAAGGGAAATGCTATCAGTCATGAACTTCTAAAACAGCAACAAGATCACAGCACTTGTTCTTAAGTTGTACCTGTTCTAGATGAGCAACACTCCTCATGTACAATGGTTGACTCAGAAGACGTAGAAGCAACACAATGGCAAAAGCACCTCTTTCACCTTCAGGTTTATCTTCTTCCATGAGAACAGCTTTCCCACGTGCCTGAACAGATGTTTCCAAAAGGCATGCAGGTGTACATGGCAATTCAAGATGGAGTAACAGTTTAGACACCTTCGGATGGTTTCGCGCCAAGTAAGTCAGAGTTTCCAAAATACGACGAGACACTAGGGGGGGCACTCCTGCATATTATCAAAGATCTAGTGAACATGGAGCATGATAAATAATTAAAATAATATTCTGCTAACCAAAATGTGAGAGAGATCATCGACATATCTAATCAACCAGCTTTTAATAGCATGAATGCTAATTCATTATTCTAAACAAAGCAACCAATAAAGTAAGCTAGATGAGAAAAGCTGAGACTAAAAAAATATGAACAAATTATTACAATCAATTAAATGTACTGCTGAAGCTAAAACTATACCGCCATTAAATTGAGGACGGGAGTACGCGACATGACTCTGGCACCCATACAATCGAAATGGTGATTCAGCAGAGTCAACTGAATTGTTAATGGATCCCCGTAGTTCAAGCATTAACATATCCATTAAAATTTTCACCAGTGAAGTTCTTGTTTCATAATGGGTGCATAGATTCAAGAGAAGCCTCTGTAGCTGACCCTTATACAATGGCTGCAAGTTGCATGTCAAACTGTCAATCATGTAAACTTTTCATACAACACAAAGTTGATAAAAGCAAGCAACTACCTGAACTATACGCAGCAGTCTGATCATTGCTTTTAGATCATCTATATCAACTAGAGGGATACCGTCTGTTTCAATCAGTTTGCCAACTGCAGTTCCCCGAGCAGCAGCCTCAACAGTTCTATCTAGTGTGGAACCAATAGTTTCACCATGCCTAGAAGACTCACCCCGACGATTTCTAGAACTCATGCCAAAAAGTGTGCCACTGTGGTGACGATGAGCAAACCTTTCACGCAACAGGTTTGCTTCAGCAACAAGTGCAGGAGTCAATGTAGCCAAGAGTGTATCTGGTGATGTTAAAAGCACCTGGAACGATCAAACATTTAGACATCATGAACAAAAAAAAGGTCATCTTCAAGAACATGAACAGAAATGTCACAAATTATGAAACTAATGGCTATAACTTTGTAGTGGAAACTTATAGCTAGAACTTCTAATAACAGTGCTGCTTTAAGCTTACCTCTTCCCGAATTTCTGAAGGAAGTGTAGCAATTATTGAAACAGCATCCATCTCAACTGGTTGACCTTCCAATTGTTGTGCTTGCTGTCGCCTTTGAGCATGTTGTTGTGCTAGGACCTCTTCCCGTATATCAGGTGGAAGTGCAGCAAGAAATTCAGGATCTATATCTCCATCAGCTTGAGGTTGCTCGCTCGAAATCTGTGCCACCTGATTTTGCCGTGATGAAAGGACTTCAGCTCGTAATTCCTCAGGAAGAGCCTCCAAAAATGTAGGGTCGATTGTGTCTGTCTCAACGTTTCCATTGGGTTGTGGCTCCTCATGTGGAGCACTCCGATCAGTTTCTTGGTCCTGATGTTGTGGGACCTCACTAACGCTTTCCAGTGATGTATCACGACCACTTACTGGCACGGGATTTCCAGAAGACCTTCTCAGCCGAACAGGTGGCTGCAAATCACCCAAAGGAAGCCTATCCACAGGACCTGGCCTGTCTCCATCATCGTGTCCATCAACACTCCCTATTTCCACTTCCAAACTGCGAAGACTTTCCCCTAAAGTTGCCCCACTGCCACTGCTTGCTTGGCTCACTGCTTCAACATCTCGTACAATTACATCACCTCGTTCATACTGCATCTCTGTCACTTGCTCACCTGTAGCAGATACACCTGCATCTTGAATTATATCACCATTTGTGGATCCAACACTGGCATTTCCAGAACCACCTATCACTCGTGAAGGAAGAGTAATATTCTCATTATTGTCAGAAGCTCTTGTTTCCGCTTCTTCTCTAACTTCCACTTCTGACATCTGTAACTGGCTGGTTTCATGGGTTTCCTGTGGACTGTTAGTGGGTATATTTTGGTCAGAAATTTGGACAGTAGGCTGCCTTAATTGGGAAACAAGTAGTTCTTCAATGCCTTGTGGCACTGCAGGAGCACTAGATGCACCACGTTGATGATTATCATCTAGCCACATATTAAAACGATGCCCATGCCGCCCATTTCTCAATGTCCGGAAGATAGCATCCATTCTATAAGAAGCACTCTCGTGATTCCTATCTGAGTAAGCTATATCCACTGCATTCTCTGAAAAAGCAAATTCTGAAACTGTCAGCATGTAATGCCTTGAGAAATTCCTATAAATACAATTTTGACAAATTAATTATTTGTATTATTGTTTACTCATGTAAGAAACTACGGTTGGATGAGAAAAACCATGTAGAGATGAAACAGTTAGATGTAACAGCAAAGGAAATCGATAGTTGGATATTTCACCTGATTGTCTTTAAATGAAAAAATCACATGGAAATTAACAGTTAAACATCAAATCAACGATAATGCAACATAGGAAATGGATACTTCACCTGATTGTCTTTGGTGAACAAGCTGTCTAAAGGAAGAAGGTTCCTCCAACAATGGATGATCAAAATGAAGAGCACCATGATCACCAGTTCTTCCAATAAGATTGTAAATGGATGTTGTCCGTCCTTGACGTCTAGAGCCAAATATGTCAAGAGGCATCACGGAAAAATTGTCACCACCAAGGACTTCAATGTGGTCAAAAACATTTATTCCACTGAATCCCTCCTCCAACCTGAGTATCACACCATCATCGTCGTCGTCGTCATCATCCTCTTCTTCCAAGACATCTTCATCAAACTCTTCATCATCAATTTCATGGTCATCATGATCTGTGTCAGGATGAGACATTTGATGAACTTCATCTTCTTCCAAATCATTATTTTCTTCATCATCCTCATCGTCTTCATCAACCTCTCCTTCATCCCCTGACATATCTTCATCGTCATCTTCATCACCCATATCATCTTCCGCATTCTGTGGTATTTCAAATCTGATTTCCACAGTTGAAACACCATTCTCCAGGCCAGTACCATCCTCAGAAGCTTCATGCATGAAATCATCTTCAGCTTCACGAGCAAAATTTCCATCCAATTCCCGGTCATGTTCCATATCATCTACAACAGAATGATAATTGCCTGAAGTTTGGATACCATTAACAGCTTCCCGCTGGTCAGCCACCACTTCGGCATGGTCAGGTTGTGATGCCATTTCTAGGGCCTGAAACCTTTCGCCATGATAATCAGAAGAACCAACTTGATGCTCATTAGAAGCAAGCTTCAGAGAGTTGTCCCCCTTTGCAGAGTTAATGTAAGCAGAATGCACATGTTCTTTGGTCACCAACTCCAACACCTTGATAATCCCTGGGATAAGCTTTGGTGAATCAGCATGGTCCAAGTCCAGAACTTGAAGAGTCCGACTTAGAGAGCGAACAAGCCCAACATCAATAAAAGTAACTGAAGCTTCTGCTGAAATATATGAACCAGTTGGTGAACGAGCAGCAAGGATATCATTAAGTAGATCAACAAAGGCATGCATATGGGAATCAGCTGATCTACAATTATTAGATGAGTCAACAAGGTCATTAAACACATGACTAATTTCAGAAAAAATCCTTCTGCGTCCTTCTGTTGAACGAACAGATGATGCCACCAAAAACTGGTTTGCTCTGGTAGCTAACTTATGCCTCCAATCTCCATCAGTTTTCTTATCCTTTTTGTGGATTCCTGGATATGGGAGAAAATTGTGAAGAATGTGATGAAAAATTCCCCCACTGCTATTGCCAGATAAACCTTTTGAAGTTGCACGCGAACTACTGAGTTCAGCATCTTTTCTAAGCAATACATGAATTGATGAAGCATACGTCAGAAGTATCTCTGTCAATAACTTGATAATAAAAGCAATTTTTGCAAGAGAGGCTAAAGCCTCCTGGGTAGTAATTTTGCCATCTTCAGATGAAACAGCAATAACTTTTTCTTTTCCTTTAGCTGAAGTGGAATCAATATCCATGTCTGATAACGAGGGAGTACCAGGAACTGTATCAGTATGGCAATTAACTTCTGAAGGAGGGACAAATTTCACAATTAAATCCAAAAGATATTCAATTACACTTGTAAAGCTCTGAGGAGATTTTCGATGAGCTTTGGTGTTCTTTACACTCAAGTCTGGTAGTTTACTATGTCCACTTCCTGCGGCCACTGAGACCACTTCCGTTCCAGTAGTCTTTCCATCGCTTGCTGCTACTTTGTCTTTCTCGGCTGTTTTTTCCTTGTCTTTTGCCTTGGACCTTTCCTTCTCACGATCTTTCAACAGCACAATATTAGGTCTGTCACCTACCATCTCAATCTGGCATACAGCTTGTGCAGCTTTCAGAAACACCACAGGGTCCCTGGAAATAACAATAGCCAAGTTTTGAACAAAGGTCCGTGGTGAAACTCTGGCATTTGAATGTCTATTTGTGGCCGCAATGAGGCTATGACGTATCTCCAATTCCATGGCTTGCTGAAGAGTATGCGGGTCTTCCAAAATGTGACGGATGATGGCAGCTGCTACGTTATTGAATCCAGGGAATAAGCTGCTGGAAGGCAAACTAAGCAATGCATGCAAACCTCCAGAATCGAGAAAACTAACAGCAATTGTATGAACTTTAGTTAATGTAGAACATAGCTGCAGCACCACATGCATTGTCTCAGAAGGTAATTGATTCTGTATACATCTGCAGCATATTTCCAAAAGCCTCCTCTGGTCCTGAATATCCAAATTCCCAGTAGTTGATCCCAAAGAAGACTGTAAATCCTTCTTTCTATTCTCATCAATCACAACTGAATTCTGGGAATTATGTTTATCCTTTTTCAGTTGTTCCAAATTAATTACTCCTGGAGTCATCTTAGGATCCACCTGAAGCATCTGATCAACAGAAAGCAAACATGCAGTCACCCACTTTGGAACTTGAGATTTCTCCCCATCAGAAGAGCCCAGATTCCATCCAGAAAGCAGGTCTAAAGCAATCTTTACCAGGCCAGCCTGAAAGGCAATTTCCCGTGCCATAAAATCCTCATGGAGAACTAAAGCAAGCACATGAAATAATGCAGATAGCATACTTTCACTTAACGGAGCTGATGGCACACAACAATGCTTGACATGATCAATGATATAAGAGAGGACCTTCAGTCGGTGTTCACCATCATTTTGAGAACAAATCATAACAAGAAGGTCCCTAATCGGAAATGCTAAAGGTTCATTCACCTGAAGGAGTCTGATACATGCCGATAAAATTTCATCAACAGGAGGTAATTGAACAGCTTCCTCTTCTTGGTCAAAAATACCAGCATTTAAAATTTCATCTTCCTTCAAGGATGTGTCTGAGTTCCCTAGGGACATAGCAACAGCTCGAGCAAGTTCATCATCTTCTTGTGGTTCTTCTGGATGAGAAAACAGCCAATCAGTTGCAATCTCAACACTATTCGTGCCAACCTGTCTCAGTGCTTCTTCTGCCCTAGCACGAGAAAAACCCATCTCTACAATCAATGAAATAGCTGATTCATCAGGCGGGGGACCAGGTAAGTGAGCTCCAGCATTGCCACTGACATTTCGAACTTCAACCCCAATGTAGACGTGCTTCATAATAGAGATCATTGACGTAATAAACTCCGAATTGCATTCAGCAAAGTGAGGATGCGTCCAAATAGGAAGTACAGCTTTTAACACCTTAGATTGAAGCACCTTCACAAATGTCTCTGCATCTTGAGGAAATGAAATGCTTCCATTTGCAATAGGTTGCTCAAGCAACTGCTTTGTTGAGGAAGACAAGATGGAAGATGATGTGGCTAAGTGGTCCAATAGTGTCCCATAGCTTGCTAAAGGACCAGATATCCATGAATTATCTGATTCTTCTTTTTCTTCTTTCTGGCATTTATCGTCCATATCCATTGGGGAAGCTGGCATCCTGTTGATCGTGAAGAGCAACTGGCTTGTAGCTTCAAAAGTGGTTAAAACAGCCTGAATGACCCCATGTCCAAAAAAGCACTTTACCATGATGGGGTTCGATATTTCTGGCCTGTCGAATAGAATTCCACTAACAAAATCAATAACTTTGCCAAGGTATCGACATTTTGTGGAAACAGAAACCTCACTCTCCATAGCAGCACTCACACGCCCCGCAAAATTCAAGTGTCCCAACACAATGGAAGCAACTGTGCCGACAACAGACACAATTGAAGGGGAAACATTTACAGGATTGTTCTCACGACGCAAAGTGAGCAACATCGCTTTACCCAGCTCCATAAAGAGATGGTTAATATGATAACAAAGTGACCTCATCGTCTCATGGCATAAAGAATAATAAGATCTCTGCTTGTCCTCTTCTGTTTTGCTTGCAGAACTTGTGTCTAAAGAATTAGAAGGCTGAGATCGGGTAGTAGGAGCAACTCGCAAAGTTGAATAGCCATCTATACCATGTCTATGTGAACCAGTAGCAGCACGGCCGAGGTCACGATATATACTAACGAGGTCAGAAAATTGGGACTCTATACTCCACCCAGACACTCTCCGTCTCAGCAATGGATCAAGATACTGCCTAAAAGAACCAATCCGTTGCTCTTCTGAATCGACCATACCAGGATCTACATTTATGTCACTTGAAGAAGAATCATAATCTCTTTCAACTTTTGAATCTTCAAGAAGGGCAATCTGCCACAGCACCTCACGATGAACTCGTCCAATATCTTCTAGGACATCCTTGCTAGAGTCTCCAAATTCAGTGAGTAATGCACTCATCCAACGATTATCTTTAGAAGCAGCAAGGAAAAGGAGAAACTCAACAACAAAAAGAGAAGAGAAAATTCCATTGTCTTGCACAGACTTGGTATCCTGCAAAAGCGAGCCAGAAAGTGAACTAAATTCATTCAGGGCTTTCATCAAGTGCCCCCTAAGAGAGGAAGAAAATGCATGTGCAAGGGGTGCAGAATGATGCTGTGTAAAGCCCTTGAAGACCACAGTACTATGCAGAGCAATTGGCATCCCATCAGATGACTGTGTGATACTAGGTCGTTGAAGAAGTCTCAACAAAGTCTCTATGCCCCCCTTCTCTACAAACATTCTACAAGTTTCAGAATTTTCCATTGTTCGATGAACTAATACCATCACATGAAAAATGCTTAATTGCTCAAACTGCTCATCGCTGATGCTATCTGCAGCCAAATCCATAGCACTTACCAAATCATGCCCCTCATTTGCCTTTTCTTCAAGATCAGTTTCCATGGCAGTGTTCTCATTCATATCATCTGCAGTTTCCTTGCACTTCTCCTCTCCCATGGAAGCAAGCTTGTTAACAATTTCAATTATTATCTCAACACCAACACCTCTTAACGAAGATACATGCCGAAGAAGCTCCTCAACAGCATTTGCTAAAAGAACAACACCCTCATTCATTGCTACCAAATATTTCCTTGTTGTGAAGGCCTCCACCAGAAATCGCAGTACAGCAGTTTCTTTAACCGCCTCCAATCCTTTAGCGTTAAGGCAGATGGCACCAAGACCATTAGGAACACATATAAGTGCTTTTGAGGAAGGGATAATCCCAGAATTAACTGATGATAAAAATGATTCTGGGACACCCAATTCATTCAGAACAGGAAAGCATGTGGGGTCCTTGTGAATGATTTCACTCATAACAGATACTGCTGAAAAATATATGTCCCCTCCAAACCAGTTCACATTGTTAAATATTAAAGATAAAGAAGAAAGCAAGGAATTATGGTGGGAATTATGGGCCCTTGTAGCATTTGCTGGGGAATATGTAGTAGAACCCAATGTCTTAAGCAAAAACTTGATGAGGCGTTTCTGCAAGTACATATGATCTGCATCAGATTTTCCTAGATCGGTGCAAATCACTGTGTTACTGCTGCCTTCTCCTGAGCCAATAATTCTATGAACTTCAATCTGTAGCCTCTGAGCCAAAAGTTCAATCCCACCTAAATCTTTAAATAGTGATACAGCTTGGCTACTATACTCCATCAGCTTTTGCAAGGTTTTAACCGCAGAGGAGACGAGATGAATATGTGCTGGATCAGAGTCCTGCAGAAGGGGTAGAAGAGGATGAACCATTCCTGACCCCCTTATAGCACTACCAGAACTAGAAGATGATAGAACATGAAGTAAGAAAAACTGCAGAAGAGCATCGACAAATACTGGAGTAGATGGATCACTGGGGTTGCTAAGTGACACAATAGCTTTCTGTAGCACATTTAGCAACATCATCCGATTTCCACCAGCAGATATAATACTTGAACCACTCAATATTCTAGCCCGTTCATGAGATGATGCATATGCTGCTAACTGTGCTCCTAATGCAAGCATAGCAAGTGCTCTTATGGTTCCAGGAACACAGTCTTCAGAACGAACAAGCCTGATCAGCTCATTTGTATATTCAGGCTCATTTGCAAAGAAAGACACAAGTTCATCATGAGCATCATTTGATTGTACCAGAACAACAAATGCAAGAATGCTGATCCTGCTATATAGTCTACAAATTCTCGGCGAGCGGAAAGCATGTGCAAACCTAATTCTTGTAAGCAATGAGAATCTGTGCTCTGGAGGTACATTAAACTGGTCGACACACTGCTTCAAAATGCCCAGATCATCCTCCTTTCTTAGATGCAGATCTGGAATTTTTATAACATGTATATTGGATGGCTTAGTTCCCTCAGTACCTATGGAAGAACCCATATTGTATTCAAAATGAAGAGTTGAACCCAGACGATGCTGGGTGCCATCACAATTATCTCCAAGATCTGAAGGGAACAAGCACAGTCCTTCATGTTGGTTCCTCTCGTTTGCCACTACGCATGAGTGTAAACCCAAGCCTTCTTCTTTGCTTCCCCATCCCTGTGCTAGAGACAGGAGATAGCTATTCGTAGAGCCACAGCCAATCAATTTCCCACCCAAATGCATCTTGGATGGATTTATTCTCACCAAAGCTGAAAGAGTTTCCAAGGTAGCTATAAGAATATCTGGATCTGTGGATGCAAGTAGAAGCTTGAAATGCTGATTGAAGAACATGATTAAAAAAAAGTTAGAAAGCCTGAATGCCAAATAAAATAATCTACAATTTTGCTGAAATTGTGCAATATTATGGACATAATTCTGAACTTGAATCTTGAGTTTCACCTCTAGACCTCCAAACGAACTCTTGTTGTGGCAATTTTCCAAAATAACTTGCATGACTCTCAATATCTGCATAATGGAATGTTTGGGAAATGGATCTTCCTCAACGATATTGTCAGATAAAAGGAGGTCTTTCCTACAAGAAAGATACGTCTTAAAGTATGTATCAAAATGCATAAAAAGCGGCCTCCAATGATGAAAATTTCCCTGAAATGAAACAAAAAACTAATATCAAAATTCAAAACAAGCAAAGCATTTGAGAAACTCTTCTGGTTATTAAACTCAACTGCACCTTATTGTACTCCCAACGGAAGCCTGAAAGAGGTATAGCTATATCATGTAATGGGCTCTTGATCACCCTATCGATGAAAGCTTTAACCTTTGGAGGCTGCAAATACAAATAGTAACATATTTAAGACAAATGATAATATTAAAATAGGTCTATAGGCACATATTGAAAGCTCTTAATCATGCGGTTAAAAGTTGATCTATCAAAAGAAAGCACAACTCGCAGGAATGTGTAATTGAATGGCATCAGAAACACAATACAATTGTATGTCCATATGACACCAACCGATAAAAAGAATGAGAAAGTATCAGTTTCCACAGGAAAGTCCAAAATTTGCCATCAAGATCACAACCAACATTCTACTTTAGAAGATAAACAAACACCGAGCCAGTATATTGGTATTATGGTATACCTGTGCATATTGATTAGCTTAATTTTCTCTCGCTCGTACTATGTTTGGTTTTATACAAGGTTTGCAAAACCACCTGCTATGGTTCAGACCGGAGGGTATTCACCAGTCCAACGACCAACTGGCACCCAGACCAGGGTAAATCAGACCATATTCTTGGTACTGTACAGTTTTATTTTTAAGACTTTTTTTTGTGAAACTCAATACATACATACATCAGTATACCGGTCCAAACCCTAATCAGCACACTACCAATACATGGAATTGCGAACTTTGGTTTTATATTCTTGAAATTTTTTGATATTTTGATTCTGGTTCATCTTTAAGTTGAAATGCCATCCCAATCGTAAAACTCTACTATAATCCCACAAGAATTCTGAATATCCAGACATTACAAATTATCCTCTGTCACAATTTGATGTAATCAAAATTATTTTGATGCACAAATCATCAAGCGTGAACCTACAAACCCTAGCAATTTATAAAGTGGAAATACCTAACAGCTAGATCAGTGCAACTCAACCCCAGAATCAAAACTAAACCTAAATGAGAACAGATCATAGACATACATGGGTCACATTTCTCATTATTGTACATGAAAAACTAGTTATAGCACTTACCACTACAAACAGTAACTGACAGAAAAAATGTAAACTGTACCTGAACAAACAAGGACAATCTAAACCATAAAATATATTAAAGAGTGATAAAAGGCTGTCTGTGCATATTGTGTTACACTAGACAAAGTAAACTATAACAAGGATCAAACCATACCATAAGAAGAACCAAGAATCATGTCAATGCTAACCCAAAAGGATCCTAACACTATAGCTAAACACTAGCAAACAAGTTATTATCTCTTGACTGGAAACATAGTTCCATGCATTGAAACAATGAAATTGTGCTAATTCATTTAAATACATCATATAAGAAATACAGTTATACTTACACGATGTATATGGTTAGAATGAAGAAGGTGAAACAATTAATATAATCCAGAATAAAATGGTAAATGCATGATACGAATAGTGTTACTGCAACAAGGAGATGAAGATGATAAAAGAGGGCACTTAGCAAAAGAGCTCTTAGCTCTCCTAATTTGTCAGCTAGGAGGTTATATGATTTTATTGTACATTTATCATCATTAAATAAACTAAGTCTACTTTAGCAACACATATAGTTACCAAAAAAACAATAGTTTGCAACTTTACCATTAAATGTATTTGTCGAAAGAATATTAATCACTATCCAACCTTTTTTTCAGAAACAGGCATTGGGAGATGAATATGCGAAGGCTCATTCAAGAGCCTAATGACTGAAAAACTATCTTAAAGGAAAAGCATAGAAGGATTTGAGGCTTTGTTTCGCCAGTTGCTTAGACATGGATGTGATCTAAGCTACGCATTAATTATGATAACATCAAGTTACTTGATCAATATGCACTAAAGTGATGAGATTATCTCTCAGAGAGTACATCTTGAACAACAAGCAAATACAAGTCAAAGAACACAATATAAACTACAAACAGATTTGTGTAAACCATTAAATGACAAATGTGAGTAGAAACACACCTCAAAACGTTGGTGCATCAAATATAAGTGGATGAATGTTCAATGATGAGAAATGGTTTTTCAAGGAAAGTCAATGGTAATAGTTATAATCAAAAAACAAAAAAAGAAAAAAGATCTCTAAAACATTTTACCCATCTTCAAGAAGGCATCTAATATATTGATTTTATAAGTCAGTTAGTGGAGTCTGGGATAGACAACCAACAGAAAAAAGGCTTTGCTGAATTAAGAAAAATACTGTAACCCTTTGATTATCTATGAATTTGTCCTCCAAAGGTTATATATTGCGGGAAGCAAACAATCTAACTGACCCAGAAACTTCAGAACAACTAAAGATGTTGTTACTAAGTATATTATACATTAAATATAAGTCCAAACACTGATCATTATATTAAAGAAAGAACTCCGCACCATAAAAGTCTAAAAATCTAAACTAGCCTCTCCATGGTCTCAGTAGATCACCTGTTCATTAGGAACTCACATACCAAGATCTTATATTTCTGCATATCCAACATAAATGAACAATCTATGAATATGAAATATCCAATGAATTGCAAATCTACTATGAAATTCATATGACAGGAAGCTTCTAACAGACAGCAGCACATTCTTTGATTCAGGTTTAAGAATTGATCATTTCCGATTGATAGAATCTATTTCTAAATAGAAAAATGCTTTGATCTAAGCGATGCAAACCATACATAAGTTTCTTTACTCTGATCAAGGTAAAAAATTCAATCACCATAGCTCTTCCCTACGGTTTATTTATTGTTTTAAAATTCCATAATAGTCTAGCTTCTTTCACAAGAAAAACAGATGGAACTAATTCTCCATAAATGAGAAAATGAAATCTCCTATATTTTTCTTATGCACCCCCAAGTAGGCTAGGCAAGAAAAGCATGGAAATACACATGAAGAGCAATTGCTAAAGCGCCAAAGGGGTTACAAACCACTAGCAATTCTCATTTGTCTTCTATTTTTTACCTTACCATCTTATTAACCACTCCAAAGAGCAATATCGCAACTCAAATAATTTCTTCTTCTTTCTGTTAGCCGTCATGCCAAGTCAGGCATAGATAACAGATCATCTATTTTATCTGTGATGCATGAGTAAGTAGTATATCCAACACACGTCCAACAACAAAGTGAAAGAAAATCAAAAAAGGCTCAGATTAGAGATAGAAAGAAGGAGCAATGGAGTTATATCACCATTGAAGCACCAAAAGCAGTACCAAGATTTGTTACGTCACAGTCGCGCAATATTTTTTCCCCCTCGTAACAAAACCGACTAGAGCAAATAATTCAGAACAGCATAACATGCCCAAATGAAGCCCAGCATAACTTTCATCACAGTCAGCTAACATAATACCTAAGATACGAGTCCATCACGTGACCCATCGAATCAACTACAAGCACCGATCACACTCCACGACCAACGATTAAGAACCAACCGAAAAGAAAACCCCCATCTGATCATGTCAAGTAAATTGGAACGGCAAGAACGGAATAGAAAAGGGGTTTAATCTAGAAACAACTCACCGGTTCGGACTCCAATTTAAGGACCGGCGAGACGGACCTCCCGCCGGACAGGATCTGCTGCAGCCGCAAGGGCAGATTTGACCGGTTCCCCGCCATCTCGATTCCAGCCTCTCCCCTATCTCAAGAACCTGCAACCCCCAACAGACACCCAAAGATCAACCAAAAAGCCCAGAACAAACGGCGATACAGATCAGAGCCCGAAGAATCTAAATTAAAAGAGGAAAAGGATCGAAAAATGATACGGGCCTACGATTAGGGCGATGCGGAAAAAAGGGCGAAGAAAAGAGGGTTTTGGAGAAAGAGCTGATGAGGCGATGATGCATACACATCGAACGAAAGACATAAAAAGAGAGAGCGAAAGAGAGGCCACAACGGAGGAGAGAGAGAGAGAGAGAGAGAGAGAGTAGCTACGAAGGAAAGGAAGGGAAAAGGGCCGCCACCGTTAAAAACCAAATGGGGCATGGGGGGTTGAAGCGAGACATATATACAGATATATTCGCGAGCGAGGTCGGCGTAACGGAGAAATGACGAGAGGGGGAGCGGATCCCCATAGAGGCCACTCTCACGTGATATCCACGTGTCTAACGATATATATATATATATATATATATATATATATATATATAGAGAGAGAGAGAGAGAGAGAGAGAGAAAAGACAGAACGGAGACGGGATGAGGAGGATCGATAGAACTTCCTCAGGGAACACTCACGTGAAATCCACGTGCCGTAGATATATCCATGTATGTAAAAGAAAGAGAGGCGTGTGGGTACATCTCACGTGTTACCTACGTGTTAGGAGTAGATATACGTACATGGGAAGAAGGAATGAATGAAGAAATAGATATACGTACCAGCAAACGCATCTTTGGTTGGTTCAAATTCACTGTTTGGATAGTATTTGATTCGTAATAATTAACCTTTTTATTTTTATTTTTACTAAAATTATTTTTTTTTAATAATTGTTTATATTATGTTAATAAGATCAAATTTGATCTTTAATTTGATTTAGCAAAATTAGCTTTATTTGGTCAGTGAGTATTGTCACATTTGGAAGAAATTAATAATAATTAAGCATTTAGGACTCAGAGGAATACTTTTGAAAGCAAAAATATATATTTATATCATGTGGTATTTTTTTCTCGCTTTAGTTTTAGGATAGAAGATATTTGTATCTAAAACTCCTACCTCTTATAAAAACTGTGATATATACAGTAAAACCCTTCGATACAAGTTCACATAGCGTCTAAAGTTTTAAGTGCTCATTTAGTTTTTGTTTTGAATAATCACATACACAAGAATATACTTTATAAATCATCATTTTTATAACTATTGATTTAATGAAATAATATTTCCTTTATATGCTATGTTGATGCAAGATGCCTAATAGGCTCTTCGAACTAATATGGCATGTAATGTTCAATAGATACTGAATGAATTCCTGATGTGGTATCTGAAATGGTTGAAAATAATAGTCGCATCATTTGTCCTTCTCCCATAGTATGTTTCGGAAGAATAAGAGCTTGTTCATCTAGGAGTGCGGTGTTTATTTTGAGACCTCAATCGTCATCGTTTTAGAGTGTGTTAAAGAGCTTCATATGCTTCGATGGCATAGACAAAAGCATCGTGCACTAATCAAACACTTCATAGTGCATTTGACACTTCAAATGTTTTTCTATCTTGAACTAATGCATTAAGCACGAATGAATGAGATATTTTGGGATATATCATATACTTTAATTTTTTTAGTCATGGACGAAGATATGTGCAAATCGAACTTATTAAGTACTTGGATGATCAAATCGCTCTCTGACAATAAAGCATCATCAACTATCTAATATTATGTGAGTGGATCAATCAGTAAATTCATTCTCCAATTAGCACCTGCATTGTATCTTTAATGTCTCCACACGAGCAATTATGAGACCTACGTTCCTCTCGAGTAATCTATGACCGAAATTATTTATGATCTGTGTTTAATGATGAATTAGTTATTATTGTGATCTCATCATGATTCGATTCTCATTGCACAGATCCATGAATATCACAATATATTCATGCAACAAGCAATATAAAGTGATAAAATATTAAATAATAATAAGCAAAAATATTACGTGTCAAGTCATACGTGTCATCACTCACGTGATTGGTTTGCATGACACCTATGACCAATAATCTCCCACTTGACCTAAAGTTAATCACCTTTGTGTTTAATCTTCATCAAACCCCTATGAATCTGCAAAGTTATCTTTGGATGAAACTCTTTACACTGTTATATCTCCTCGGGTCACGATCTCTCTAATTAGGTGGAACCTCCTTAGAACATGCTTAGACTTCTAATGAGACCTAAGTTCCTTCGCTTGAGCAATCATCCCGTTGTTGTCGCAACATAAAGGAATTGATACCTTGCTACCTGACACGACTCCCATATCCGTAATAAACTTCTTCATCCAGACTTCATCCTTTGCTGTCTCTGCTACAGCAATATACTCCACCTCTGTGATCGAGTTAGTAGTAGTATCTTGCTTGGAACTCTTCCAACATACTACTCCTCTATTCAGGGTGTACATATACCCAAAATTTGACTTGTTAACATCGATATCAGACTAAAAACTCAAGTTTGTGTAGCATTCTACCTTGAGGCTACTACCTCCATATACTAGTAAAAGATCCATAGTCCCTCGCAAATACTTAATTACTGCTTTCTAGTGCTCCAAGCCTGGATCTACTTAATACCTTCGAGTGATACTCAGAACATACACTGTATCAGGCCTGATATAGCGCATGCTCATCGGTTTGAGAGTTCTCTTGAAATTTTTAATGCCAAACCTTTTGACAATGATGTCTATGTACTTAGACTAAGATAAGCCAAGCATCCTCTTGGATATATCTCTATAGATCCAAATCCTTAAGATATATAATACTTCTCCTAAGTCTTTTATGGAAAAGTATTTAGATAACCAAGTATTTACTATGGATAATATTTTAAAATCATTTCCAATTGTTAGGATGTCATCCACATATAACACCAAAAAGATGATAACGCTCTCACTTACCTTCTTGTACACACAAACCTCATCTTCGTTCTTAACAAAGTCATAAGATCTTATGTTCCAACTTCGGAAAGCTTTCTTTAGTCCATACACCTCATTCTTGAGGTTGTCATCGAGGAACGTAATTTTTACGTTCATTTGCTAGATCTCATAATCATAGTATGCTGCAATAGTCAAGAGTATTCGGATGAATTTTAGCATGGCTATAGGTGAAGAGATTTTGCCATAATTAACATATTATCTTTAATAATACCCCATAGTCATTAGTCTTGCTTTATAAGTCTCTACTTTTCCATTTACTCCGATCTTCTTCTTTAAGATCCATTTACAACAAATGGGTACAATACTCTTAAGTGCATCAACTAGGTTCCAAACATTGTTAGAGTACATAGAATACATATCAGAATTCATGGCTTCTTACCATTTTTTTGAAGTCTATACTCGTAATAGCCTCATTGTAGGTTTGAAGATCAATATCCTCAACATCCTCTCCTCTAATATGTCTCACATATCTCTCATAAGGATGAAATACTCTACTAAACATTCGTAAAGTCAGAACTTATATGCTAGGTACCTGAACAGACTCGAGCTGTAGAGTGGTGCTTGAACTAGATTCTCCAACCTCGCTCAACTCTATCACGCTCCCACTGTCTCCACCAAGAATGTGTTCCTTCTCAAGGAACACTACTTTCTTGGCTATAAAGACCTTTTAGTCCTCGGGATAATAGAAATAATATCCACAAGTTTTCTTAAGGTATCTCACGAACTTGTATTGCTTTGTTCTCAATTCTAACTTATCAGGGTTGTGTCTTTTAACATGGGCAAGGTAGCTCCAAATCTTAACAACTTTAAGATCAGACTTCTTTCCTTTTCATATCTCATATGACGTATACACTATCGACTTAATTGGAACTCTGTATAGAAGATAAGCTGCGGTCTCTAGGGTGTATCCCCAGAATAAGATAGGTTGGCAAAGCTTATCTGCACCATGTCTAACAATGTACGATTCGTCCTTTCAGATACACCATTGAGCTGATGTGTATAAGGAGATATCCATTGAGATAGGATCTCATGATCCTTAAGGAACTATGTGAACTCTGTACTCAAGTACTCATATCCTCGATCTGATCGAAGAGTCTTGATACTCTTTTCAGTTTGGTTCTCCACTTTATTTTTATACTCTCTAAATTTCTCAAAAGCCTCAGACTTGTACTTCATTAAGTACATATATTTATACCTTGAGAAATCATTAGTAAAAGTAATAAAGTATGAGTAAACCACCTATGACATGAGTTAACATGGGTCCACATACATCACTATATATGAGTTTCAATAGCTCAGTGGCTCTCTCTCCAGTTTCGCTAAAAGGAGAGTTGGTTAGTTTTCCACGAAGGCAAAGCTCGCAAGTTATATATGACTCATAGTCGAATGAATCTAGATATTCATCCTTTAGTAACTTTTGAATCATTCTCTCATGGATGTGACATAGTCTACAATGCCACAGGTATACACTGTTCACCTCATTTTATTTCCTCTTGGACACACTTGCATTCATATGTTGAATAGTGTCTGGTATAAATAAATCATTATGCAATATTCTTCTCATGATGATCTCATCATCTAATATTAGTGGACAATAATTATTCTAAAAAACTAATTTATATCCACTAAATATCAAACATGTAATGAAAATAATATTTTTGATAATAGAAGGAACAAAATAACATGCATCCAATACAATAATAGCTCTACTGAGCAGTATAAGGTGACATCGCCAACAGCTACTATAGTAACTTTTGCTCTATTGCCCATCTTAAGGTTCATCTCGCCTCTCGCCAATCCCCTAGGTCTTGCTAAAACTTGCATCGAATTACAAATGTGATAAGCATTATCGGTATCCAATATTCATGTGTTATCATAAGAGTTTGACAAATAAAGACTGATCATGAATGTACACGAAGCTTTTCCAAGCTTTTGTTTCACCATCTTTGTAATGTACTATTTGTAGTTCCTCTTCTAGTGCCCCGTAATAGAAGCACTGATCTTTGTTCTTTGTCGGGTCTTTTTTAGCAATATTTGCTTTACCCGGTCTGCCCTTGCCCTTCTTAAGGGACTTTTCTGCTTTCTTTTTCTTTTTAGTCTCACTAGTATAAAGAACAGGCTTCTCTTTTTTTATAGTGCTCTCTGCCTCCCTCAACATATTGAGGTGCTCAGGGAGAGTCATCTCAAGTTTCTTTTTATTAAAATTCATTATGGACTAGTAGAGACTGAAACACTAGATCCACACACAAGTTAGGACAGGTAGGGACCATTTCTAGACCTGTGAGTTTCTCTATCCACTCAATCATTTTTAGGA